CAAAGGTTTAACAATTGTTGAAGAATTCTTTGAAAACAAGATCCCATGATGCTGCAGGGGTCTGCAAGACTGTTTGTCTAAAAAGTTTTGAGGGGAATGAACACATGGGACCCAGAGGGGGGGAAAGATTACCTCTACTCCTCCTCTCCTTACGCCTTCCTCTTTGTTTTGGGACTGATGAAGCCACTGTGGGCGAAACTTTTCCTGAATAAAGATTCCCTATCCCTGCTTTAAGTGCCCTCAATCTTCAACTTGTCTTTTTTTTAAACCTTTCATCCCCAACTGCCCAGACACTCCCAGCTTCATGGGATCTTGTTAAAAAGAATTCTTAAAACATTTGGGTTCAACCTTTGGAAAAAGGGACCTATTCACTAGGGAAATGGTCCACAAAGCCCCCCTCCGTCTGTTTTAAAGGGTCCCCCTCACACGGGATAAAAGCCCCCCTACGGCCCTATCTGTACATTCTACAAGTTTGGATGGACTAAACCCCTTTCGACCCCAGGCTGGGGGGACTAAATTACCTCATCCCCCCCTTTCCTTACCCTTCCTCTTTGTTTTGGGGACTGATAAAAGCCACTGTGTGGCGAAACTTTTTCCTAATAAAGATTCCCATATGCTGCAAAAAGTGTCTAAATTTCTTAAATTTTTGTCGGTTTTTTTAAACCATTCATCACATACAAGTGTTACTAACGGGGGGTTGGTTCGGGATGCAGTCTTTCTTGAAAAATTTTATAAAGGGGCATAGTTTCCCTTAAAAGCGTTTAAAAAAGGGCCCTTTTGTTCGTTGTTATAGGAAAAACGTCCCTAAATTTTGTTTTGTCGACCGTTTTCCCAGTTAAACTCATTTGTGTTCGCAGGAAACAGGAAAAAAATCTCTTTGCACTGAAGTTTGTCGGGTTTGAAAACTTTTCAGTGTTTAAACGCTATTATTGGTTTAAAGCGGTGTGAAAAGGGGAAAACTAAAAGAAAAACCAAACTCACTGATTGCGGGGAACGAGAAGTTTTTCATCTCGTCCCACCGGGATGACTGAAAGGGGACAAAGGGGCTGGGGAGACTTGGCTGGGTTTGATCTTTTTATCATCCCCCTGCACCGAGCGCTTTGCTTCTTGGCGCTCCCCAAAGTGACACGGCGGGGGCTGTAAAAGGGGCAGGGGGAAAATGGTTTAGATTTTTGGTACTTTTGATGGCGTCTGGGGAATGAGAGACAATTAAATTTTTTTCAAGGAAGAGAATAAAATATTTGCTGTCAGGGACCCCCCACGTGAACAAATTTTTCCCTTTTTTTGTTTTATTGTTCTAATTTTATGTATATAAAAAAAAGGCCCTAAACAAATCCCAGTGTACCCAATTATTTTTAAAAAAGGGAAAAAGATGATGGGGGAAAAAAAAATGGGTGAGGGTAATGCCCCCTTTTAAACAGAAGAGCACTGCAGAAAATTTTTCTGGCTCATGTAGGCGGGTTTTTTCTAAACCCCACCATGGTTTGGGGGTGCTGAACTTAGTCTTTGTGACCCAGTGCATTTCGTAGTGACGCTTTTTACTTCTACATATTTTAGTTTTGTTAAAATCTACATGGTATTTTCGCAGTTTGTGGCCTTTTCTTTTTCATTCCTATTTCCCTACTTCCAGACTAGTCCTAGTCTTTCATCCCGTTTCTCTTCCCTCCTTAACTTATTCCCCGCACATCTTTCCTCCCTTTCCTATATATTCTTGCCATCCCTCGCTGTCTCAGGGGTCTCCCAATCTACTCCACCTTGTATTTTTCACCCGCTTATTTATGTCTCTTCCTTGTTCCTCCCATTGTCCTGCAACATAGAACTGACCGGACAATCTCCGTGGCACATCCTGACGTCACATTCGATGTAGAGAGCTGGGGAGCCGGTGAAGCGAAAAGTCTTCATGAAAGCGTACACTTGTGTCTCGTACAGACCTTCTGAAGTCCGCGTACCTTCGAAGTGACTGATGAGCGACTCGTCCAGCGGGCACCTGGCGCAGAGAAGCACACACTTTAGCATAGGGAGAGAGGAATTATATACAACTGGGTTCAAACTTTAATGTAACTGTACGTATTTACCTATGACCCGATACTACAGCCGGGCCATGACACTACACTCATGTCTGGGATTTCGGAAGATCGAAAGGATCATAAGGAATAAGGGAGTCCCACACTGTGGATATATCCGTGCGTGTTTCGATAAAAATATAATACTGATAAGGACTTACCCGTAGTGGTCGATGAGAGCAATACGCTTATTGCCGCCGTTGTGAGCATAGCAGTCACTCACCACGATGTCGAAGCCCTCTGGTAGGAGAGAAGGCCACGGTGAGAGAACTCGTCTGTTAAATTCGTTTAGACAAATGAAATTGTGTATAAAGAATACAAAACAAAGCAATTGGCACCGAGGATGGTGCCGAATGACCGACACGGATTTGATGCTTCTGATAAAGTATCAACACAGCAGTGTACGTACCGAACTCTGAGCGCATGTAGATGACCAGAGTGAGGGGGTCGCCCACACGCACCGGACCTGTTACTCTCTTTCCCGTGGTGCCAATACCGTAGCGGATTTCCATGTGGCACTCTGGAGGCGTCAGGGTGAAAACTACGGGATTGCCCGTCTGAACTCTGCAACCAAACACACACACGAGTTACTACACTCTGCAAAACCCAAAAACACACACGAGTTACTTTCACTCTGCAACCAAACACACACACGAGTTACTATACTCTGCAACCAAACACACACACGAGTTACTACACTCTGCAACCAAACACACACACGAGTTACTATACTCTGCAACCAAACACACGCACGAGTTACTTCACTCTGCAACCAAACGCACACACGAGTTACTTCACTCTGCAACCAAACACACACACGAGTTGCTTCACTCTGCAACCAAACACACACACGAGTTACTACACTCTGCAACCAAACACACACACGAGTTACTACACTCTGCAACCAAACACATACATGTGTTACTACACTCTGCAACCAAACACATACATGTGTTACTACACTCTGCAACCAAACACATACACGAATGACTACACTCTGCAACCTAACCCACACACGTCATTACACTGGATCCATGCGGTGTAAGTGTCGAACATGGTGGAAGAACACAGGCTACAGAACAAGCTTTCACTAGGACGACGTTTCGATTTGTTATGATCTGTATCACGATCTTTATCAATATCTACATCAAAACCTTGGCAGATTGAAATGTGGTCCCCAACAAAGCTTGGTCAGCAACTTGTATTCTTTCTATCTTCTACTCTCACTCCACTGCCTGGCTCACACCCTCCGCAAGTTTCTTTCTCTCCCTTTCCCCTTGAGGCTTCCAGTAGATGACCAACGCGGGTTTAGCTTTTTACATATATATAATCGAATTTTATTTACTATACAAGAAAAAGTGGGGGTAAGGGGTGCCTTGATGCTGCTGGTTCATTAAGGGCTCTTGATACGAGAGGAATGGGAGCAACACTTGCATTAATCGGATCAGTCATGATTGCCTCTCATTCCCTAGGCCCTACATGACTCGTACAGATTTTTGCAGTTTGCAGCAGCAGCAACAACAACAACAACAACAACAACAACAACAACAATAATAATAATATTAATATTAGTAATAAAAATCAGCTTCTTACTAAGCAGTAGCGAATACAAATAATATGTATTACACTAAATCTCTCTTCCTGGAATATCTCGTCTCAGTGACGTGTCAACTACGTGGGTTGTTGAAGTCTTTGTACTGAAGAAGATAGACGTGTGGAGCAAACTTTTATTGTGACTACGTTTCGCTCTGTGTATAACTGACTTGGTAAAGCTCTACAGTGAGCGAAACATTGGTCACAACAGACACTAACTCTGCAACCTGTAACTGTTTTTTTTAATGCTGTCGGCGGTACGCTGTTGTATCTTGTAATGTAGTGGTTTTATACTGAGCTATGTTCACTCTCAAGATGAGTGGTGCTGTCCAGTCAGACAAAAATCTAAAATTCGCCTTTTTGTCATGTTATGTAAAACTCTCTCTCTCTCTCTCTCTCTCTCTCTCTCTCTCTCTCTCTCTCTCTCTCTCTCTCTCTCTCTCTCTCTCTCTCTCCTCTCTGTAACAATGTTGAGTGCTACTTCTTCGTCCGTGGGACCAACTCACTCGACATCGAGGAAGGGAAAGGTGACTGTCTTCCAGAAGTCGTAGCCATACTCGCAAGTCACCTTGAAGTGCTCGTCCCACACCTCCTCGATCAGCGGGTTGTACTGCACCGTCAGTGTGTTCCACATCATGTTCTTCTGCAGGAGAAAAACTAAACACGTTATACCTCTTTCAGGAGAATGTCTTAAATATTGCCTCCTGAAGGATGACAGATCAGAACGCTACCCTCCTTCCCTGCTGGATATCATCCTCAAACTCAGCCTTCTAGAGTATAACATGTCGAAACTCTACCTTTCTAGAGGATAACATCTGGAAACTCTACCTTCTAGAGGATAACATCCTGAAACTCTACCTTCTATAGCAATGTTTCTCAACCTTTTAACCCTGGCGGAGCCCTTGGAAAAAATTTCATGTCTCAGGGAACCCCTACATAAAAAGTATTATATATCATTATTAATATCCTTCTTTCTCTTTTATAAACTTAAAGTTGATAAGGAAAATATTTTTTCTGATAACTGTTTTAAGCAAAAATAACTTACGTTTTTCTCAAGTTTATTGACAATGCCAAAAAAAAAAAAAAAAAAAAAAAAAACTGAAATCAAACTTCTCATTCACACACAAAAAATTAATCGAATGTGTAAACAAAAAAAAATAAACATAAATAGCCAATATCAAATATAAGACACAAACAGAACAAAAACAGATGATAACTACTACAGTGACTTAATCATTTATTGACATTGTTGGAAAGGCATAAGATAAATCAAGGATAAATGTCGAATGAACAAATATATGGGTCAAAGAAATGTTTTTTTTAATTTTTTTGAAGCCAATTTAAATAACGAGATTTGCTTGTCTAATGTGACACCTGTGAGTGTCTTTTAGCACATAAATACTTAATTGGAGGTTGAACTTTAGAAAATCATACACAAGTTTTATCTTCAACTGAAAGGAGGCGATTTCTGTCTTTACTCTTGATTTGTTAGATAAGAAAAAGCTTCCTCACACATGTAAGAGGTTGAAAACTACAGAAATATATTTATTGCTTTCCTATGAATGGCAGGATACTCTTCCTTCACAGAAATTCAGAACTTGTCCAAGGATAGGTCAGTAAATATCATGTCAAGTGCACGATCAGACTGCAGCTCACAAAGTTCTTCCTTTTCTCTGAAAGTCTAGTTCTCAGGGTGAGCAGAAGATTCAGAGTCTGGATCCCTCACCCAGTCATACACTTGCGTTGAAAGGGAGGGAAAATAATGTTCGATTATCATCCACAGTTCTTCCAGGTGGGTTTCAATAAGACTTGAAATTTGCAGTAGGTGAAACATCTCAAGATCTCCTTTTGCAACATGATTTTTTTTCCAAAGACTTAATCTTCTTATAAATCCAAGAATCTTGTCACTTGAAGTCAACGCATTTTTTGCAGGGCCTTGCAGTGGTTTGTTCAGCTGATTCATGTGATGAAAAATGTCTGCTAAGTAGGCTAGCCTCTACAACCATTTTTCATCTTCAAAGCACTTGGCAAAATCTTGCTTATTGTTTTCTTGAAAGTATTCCTACAGTTCATCTTTCAGCTCAAACACCAAATTTAGAACTCTTTCTCTACTCAACCACCAGATTTCTGTATGTAGCAAGAAGTTTATGTGCTTTTTGTCCAGGATTTTCATACATCTTTTTAATAATTCTGGAGTGAACTGGTCTTTGTTTAATAATGTTAACCATTTTTGTAGCATTATCAAAACGTTTTTCATTTCATTTCCAAGAGATTTTGAAATCAGTACCTTTCTGTGAGGGAAGTAGTGTATTGAGACATCAGCATTTTCTTGTTTTAAAAGAGAAATCAATCCTCCTATGGAGCCAACCATTGATGGAGCGCCATCAGTACTGATGCCAACACAGTTCTTCCAAGAGAGACATCTTGTTTCCAGATATGAGGACCAGTGGTCCTCATATCTGGAAACAAGATGTCTAGCGCAAGCTGGACTCCAAGGTATTAGTCCAGTATAAAATTATATATATAATATATATATATTATATATATATATATATATATATATATATATATATATATATATTGTGTGTGTGTACTCACCCATTTTTTGTTTGCAGGGGTCGAGTTATAGCTCCTGGCCCCGTCTCTCACTGGTCACTACTAGGTACTCTCCCTGCTCCATGAGCTTTATCATACCTCGTCTTAAAACTATGTATCGTTCCTGCCTTCACTACGTCACTTTCCAGACTATTCCACTTCCTGACAACTCTGTGAATGAAGAAATACTTCTTCCAGGTAAACTCCAGGTAACACCCCTTTGACTCATCTAAGTCTTCAACTTCCTATTGTAACCCCTTGTTTCTGTGTCCCATCTCTCGAACATCCTGTCTCTGTCCAGCTTGTTAATTCCTGCAATATTTTATATATCGTTATCATGTCTCCCTTAACCCTCCTGTCCTCCAGTATCGTCAGGCCTATTTCCCTTAACCCTTCTTCGTAGGACATTCCCTTAAGCTCCGAGACTAATCTTTTTTGCAGACCTTTGCACTTTCTCTGATATCTTGACGTGCTTGACCAGGTGTGGGGTCGAAACAGCTGTTGCATTAGAGAGTATTGAAAAAATACAAATTTTGGAGATGTAAGCTGCACTTTTCAGGCATTATTTGTATGGTCACAACAAACTTCTGTGCAACATTTCAGACCATTTACCCTACAGCATCGCGATCGACTTTTCTCCATATTATACACTACTGAGAGCAATTACATGTAGTTATAATTTATTAGTTGTCAGGATAATCATCAAGTGCACATTCTTTATATTATTTTTGATTGTGAAGATTGTATAATCAAATGTACATGAGTTATATCAATCATCAACTATTTAATTTTAATTAAACTATTACAAGTTAAAGTGAAGTCTTTCTTGGTGCGGAACTTGGGCATCACTTTCCTGGAAAATATTCTCTGCCTGATATATCCATCTCTTGCCTTCTGTCTAGTCACTTTAATGTAAGCTTCAGTCATCAATTTTATCCCTCTCTCAACAACCTGAGTGTTGTTTGGCCACTTGGGCACCTCCAGTGGAGTCTCATTAATTTTCAGAGCCTGTTGATCTGTTTGAGAAGCAATGAAAGGAGGCTCAGTTTTGAGTTCAGTCTTCCAGTCAATCATGGCATGATAGTTCTTTGCTTGTCACTTTGGGAATCACAACTTTTCTTGAGTTGACAATAGGAGCCAAATTGTCATTCTCTTCATCTTCACTGTCATCCTCATCATCAGTGTAGATTAACAAGTTCTCGTCAACAGAATCAGCAGAATCTTCTCCATCCTCATCAGAGTTCTCATTACGTTCTTCTGTCTACTGATTCTCTTCTCTAATTTTTCTTGTTATTGAGACAGCTTTGTCTCTCACAGTCACGTTTTCGTCAGCGCACATACAAAGAAGCAGCTGATCTGTGTGAGCAAAGTAGGAATTTCTTTGGACAGTCTTCTATACTATATTCTTTTCTTCACTGTTCAGATGTCTCATAAATTACAGTGACTGGAAGACGTTCTTTGGACCATATGTGACATAAAGCTGCAGCTTGATGTGGAACCACGTTGGAGCAATGAACTTTAAAGTCATAATGACGACTCTTTTCAGCTCCTGACTGGGTCTTGATGCTGCCACATACAGCCCAAGGATCCTACTCCATAAAGTATTCCACACTGACACACGTTAAACCTGGTTCAAGTCATCATCAATAACACCTGTGATCATTCCTTTGCCACCTTGTCATTCAGAACAGGGAAATCAGTGAAACTGACTGGTTGGAAAGCAGCAACTGGCAGCTCAGACAGAGGATCCTTGGTTTGCTTGCCAATGACACCTCTCTAATGCTCAGGACCACTTGGCTTACCATCATAGTGGTAGAAAACAGCCCGGAACGGCAGCTCATTTCCATGAAGTTGACAGATGAAACAATGGACTGGATGACCAAGCAACATTTTAAGATGATGAATGGCTCCATTGTCAGCTCCGACATTTATGTTGGTTCCGTCACAACTAACACAAACAACAGGCTTCCGAGTTAGTTTCTGCTTCACCAGAAATGTACAGATAGTCTTGGCAATCTCCTTTTCATGGCCTGACTAGGGAGTCATATGAGTGAGATATTCAGTGCTGGGCTCCACCAAGATGACATAATGATCTTTCACCACTATCTTTGGACTCCAATTCTTGATCTTTTCATTCTTTGTCATTACACGAGTGGAGGTCTTCTTACCATCAAAATACAGTGATGTGATATTTTCCAAGCTTGCTAGCTCATTATCTTCCCTCTCTATTCGGTATTTGTATTTGGCATCTCGTAACTTCTGTAGTCCAGTAACTTGACTTTTGTCGTCCTTGGTGATAATAAGTGGCATAGCCCATTAAGGTGGGGGTAGAAATAGCAGCTCCAGCATAATCACTGATCAAGCATCGGTCACATGTGGCTGCCAGTGTGGGGGGAGTCTTGTTCTGTTCTGCTGTGAGTTGCTGGCAGTCAGACCACTGAAGACATAGTCAGCATCAGTATCGACAGAAGGGCTATCTCTGACATCATCTCAATTATCGTCAGAATCAGAAACTTCTCCAGGTGCCGGTTCATTCTGTCTTTCCTTAAGCTGCTTCCTGGCTCTGGCTGCATCCTGCTCCTCTTTTACCGTCACTCTATCCTAAATCCTCGTTACTGTTATGTAAATACAGCTAATTTTCATATTCCTATCGCCTTTCTGGTCAAGGAGGAACTGTACCTCACGTTTAGGAACTTTCACATCACAATTACAGGCCAGGTGGTATCCGCCACACTCCTTTATTTTGTAGCCAACATCCTGACAGGCGGCAGCAGGACAGAAACAACTACTTATATCAAACATCTCGTTCATTTCTTCCTGAAATGTAACTTTATTGGAGACATTTTTGTTCTTATTCCTCTACTGTACAATTTTCTCAATCTTTCCTCAATAGTTTTCTGGTTGAGAATAGGAACAGTCTTTCTGTCTCCAATAAATTTCTTCCATAGTTCAGAACAATCCTTAGCTGCTGTCTTGATAATCACTGAAACATCAGTAAACTTTCCTTCATCACATTTATATCACCAGCAGTTCCTTAACATATCGCCTTTGGACTGAAGTTTGTTCACTGGAAGAACACTGTCATGGTCAAACACATGTTCTGTGACTTTCCTCGTTGACATTGTAGCATCTCTGTAGTAAAGTATATAAGTAATCAGAGTATCTGAAAAAAGAGAAAGTTAGTTAATGTTTATAAATACTGAGAGTACATAGATACAGTACATAAAACACTGCGCTGCGCCACTCAGTAATACAGACATTCCAAAATTTCAGTCACAAATGCTGTAGGCTAAACTTCAACTAATCAGCTTCATATTTGGCACTGTATCTAAGACGTATATAAGGAACAATGCCTGGAGAATGCAGCTTTGACCAAAATTTCAATGCTTCCTATGCTGCATACTCCAATTTGGGCGTGACGTACACAGTGTACAGAATCTTGAACAATTCCTTACTGAGTTGTAGGAACGCTATCTTTGGTTTGCCAGGCGTCCATATGCTGCAGCAGTTATGTAGTTGATGTGCGCCTCAGGAAATGTGCTCGGTATTATACTTACACTAAGATCCTTTTCTTTGAGTGAGGTTTGCAGTTTTGGGCCACCTGGCGCATACTCTGTCTGCGGTCTTCTTTGCCCTAACCCGATCTCCATGACTTTCCATTTGGAGGGGTAAATTCCAGGAGCCAGTTTCTGGAACACGCTTACAGCCTGTCCAGGTCCCTTTGTGGAATCCCACTCGTCACAGGCGCCCACTCTGACACCTCATCACGTACCATGACTCGTTGTTGCCTCACTGTCAGGTATTCTCTGATTCATTGCAATTCCTTTCCTGTTATGTGTGCCTGATCCTCTAGCTTCTGCACTAATCTCTTGTGAGGAACTGTGTCGAAGGCTTTCATGCAGTCCAAGAAAATGCAATCCACCCACCCCTTTCTCTCATGTCTTACTTCTGTTACCTTGTCATAAAATTCCAGTAGGTTTGTAATCAGGATTTCCCTGCCCTGAAACCGTGCTGGTTGTCATTTATAACCCTATACCTTTCTACTGTAGGTGCTCCCCCATTCTTCTCCTGATAATCTCCATGACTTTGCACACTATACACGTCAGTGACATTGGTCTGTAGTTTAATTGCTCGTGCCTGTCTCCTCTCTTAAAAATTGGGACTACATTTGCCGTCTTCCATACCTCAGGTAGTTGCCCAGTTTCAATGGATGTATTGAAGATTGTTGTTAGTGGCACATACAGCATCTCTGCTCCCTATCTAAGGACCCAAGGAGAGATGTCCGATCCCACCGCCTTTGAGGTATCAAGGTCACTTAGCAGCTTCTTCACCTCCTCCTCAGTTGTGTGTATTTCATCCAACACTTGTTGGTATATCTATGGTGTGTGTGTACTCACCTGTTTGTGGTTGCTGGAGTCAAGACATAGCTCCTGGCATATGTGTGTGTGAGTGTGTGTGTGTGTATGTGTGTGTGTGTGTGTGTGTGTGGTGTGTGTGTGTGGTGTGTGTGTGTGTGTGTGTGTGTGTGTGTGTGTGTGTGTGTGTGTTGTGTGTGTGTGCCTCATTATAATATAAAATTTTCTGTAGAAAATCCGATGGTTCAGTATAAATATATGAAGGGCGTGTAAAAGATCAACATGACGAGTGAGGGGTTATTGGAAGAGTGAATCTTGCACTGGATGTGGGGAAACAGAGGCTGGTAACTGATCCATTGAGAGCAGAGAAGTGCCTGACTGAGTTTGGTTCAGCAGTGAGTGTGGCTGGTGAGTGTACGACCAGTTTTATGAGAGGTCAGTTGTGTTGAGTGTGACCGACGTTTAGGTATTCAGTAGTTAGTTAGTTTAATGTTTATTATGCACCTCATACCCATCCTGTGGGCGGTAGTCAAAGGATTACAGAGGTACATAAATGGTCCAGGGATATTCAGTAGTCTCGGATTTACGTAAGTGAGAACTGTTTGGGTCATTTCATTTACATTGTCTGTTTACGTTTGTAATATTAAAGTAACGTATGGGTTACTAAATGGCCCCTTGAAAGTTTGTTTATTCGATACATTCTAAAGAGTTCTGTGTATCGTTACAGCAGCAAGTTCCTACGTGGTGACTACAACACCATAACCTACGTGGTGACCACAACACTATGACCTACGTGGTGACTACAACACCATAACCTACGTGGTGACCACAGCACCATAACCTACGTGGTGACCACAACACCATAACCTACGTGGTGACCACAACACTATGACCTACGTGGTGACCACAACACAACCTACGTGATTACCTTCACTCGGCCTCCATCACTTTCTTACTTACCGAGGTGGTGCCACTTTTGGCCTACTTACCGAGGGCGTGCGACCTCTGATGTCCTCCCTGCCCTTCTCATTGCCACTCAGAGTACCGCAACGGTTAAGCTGGATGAAGAAGTCGTAAACGAGGCGACCAGAGCCGTTCACGTAGATGCAGTCTCCATCGTAGGCATAACCTGGAGACGCGGGAAGAAGGAATGGAAAAACATTGTTAAAATCTCACATACACACTTACGCTGATGAGTCTTATATACTCAAACAAGGAAACACATTCACCATCATTCAATCAATATATATCCTGCCAGAAATGTGCAGACATGACAATTTAGTTGATTCCCCGATCATTGACATCCAAGCTTCTCCTTCAGGGTGCAGGCGCCGTAATTCCTGCTCCAAGACTCCAACCTGACTAAGTGGTATCCCTGATCTATTTAAAAAACATTGTGTGTGTACTCACCGTTTTGTTGTTGCAGGATTGAGTCTCAGCTCCTGGCCCTGTCTTACAGATGGACACTACCGGCTTTCCTTTCTTTTGGCTGTGCGAGCGCTATCATACCTATCCTTAAAACTATGTATAAATCATGTCTACCACTTCACTGTTTAGATCGTTCTACTTCCTGACACTCTTAGTCTAAAGAAATATTTCCTAGCATCCCTGTAACTCATTGTGTTTTTATGTTGAAGCCTTGCCCTTGTGTACCTGATTCCCTCCTCTCGAGCAGATTAGCCTTGTCCATCATATAAGCTCCTTGAGTAATTTGTTGTATGCCGCAATCATATCACCTTTGACCGTTCTGTCCTATAATCTCGTCAGGTTTAGCTCTTCTAGCCTCGGCTCTGAGATCTGTCTCGTTGCAAACGTTGATAACTTTTCCAACTTCCTGCTATGCTATATTAAATGTGTGTTCTATACTGATGCTAAATATCACAAGATGAGTCTGACATACATGTACGCCCTATTATAGTGTCGTGAATAACTCCTTGTTGATGTTCCTTAAATTCACAAGTCTGTTATGTCCTGCAACGGTTAGTTGATGTGCGCCTTAGGTTATATGTTCGAAACTATGCTCACCCCAAGATCCTTCTATTCAGGGAGGGTTGTAACCTTTGTTTCCCGAGCCTGTACTCTGTTTATTGTCGTCCTTTCCCTTCCCCGATTTTTACAACTCAGCAGTTGCTGGGGTTTAAATTCTAATAGCCACTTATCAGATTAGTTCTGCAGCTTGTCCAGATCTATTTGTAGTCTTTCCTGGTCTGCTCCTGTTTGCATTCCCTTCATTAATTTTATGTTATCTGCAAACAAGAACGACTCTGATTCGATTTCATACACAATAAACAGAGCTGGTCCCAGCACTGACCTTGAAAGACTCTGCTCGTCACACTCTCAATCCCACACCTCCTACCGGGCAATCACTCATTATTTTCTTCCTTTTAAGTATTCATTGATCCACTGTAGTGCTTTTTCTGTTATTCCAGCCTGTTCCTCTAGCTTTTGTCCCAATCTTTTATGAGGTACTGTACAGTGTGTATGTGTGTGTGTGTACGCATGAAGGTAGGAACATGCGTGCTTGCGTCTGTGCTGTCGTGCGTGAGACTAAAGCCTTGGGCACAACTTAAGACTTAACTTACCTAAGGAGTAGATGAGACCGCTGAAGGAGCCGTTGAACTGGACATGGATCCTCATGAAGTCATCCTGGCACTCAGCATCGATATCTGTAGGTAGGTCACACCACAGCACAAGTCAGACTAGGCCACACCACAGCACATGACAAGGTAGGTCACACCACCACACAGGTCAGGTGATGTCCCACTAATGTGTTGGTCCAGATGGGGGCCCCAAGAACTATGCTTGGGGCCCCCATTTGGACCAACAGAGTATGTCTCAGATCTAAGGCCGGGCTTCCTTCCCTGGCTGACAGAGTAAGATATATAAACGCCTGCAAAGTAGCCACGATTCTGCACCGGCAGCAAGGTACCCCACTAAGAAGACGGATATTGACAACCATGACACAAGAACCAACTCTCTTCACGGACTACTCCTGGATTTGTTCGTTTTGTGCTGCTGAGCGGAAGCTGCTGCCTATACAACTACTCCTTGAGAAGAGCTGTGACCTCCCTGTTGCTGGGTACCATCCACCACCTCCCTGGCGCCCAGATCCCGCCGATGTTTGCGTCATGCAACTACCTATCTCTAAACGTCTCTGCAGTTGTGAGGGAAAAGTTCAACAGATAGGAGTAGCGAGCGAGTATATGGTAACGATAGTTTGATTGCCGGCTGCTTGTTAAGGTGGGGTCAGTCTAGCTCCCGCTATCCCTTCCCTCCCCTTTCTCCCCACCCGGAAAGGTGACGTGTGGGGCTCCGGCCAAACAGCAATCACTCGACTTACAGCTCCCAGCACAACTGTAAGTAAAAGCCTCTGCTCCTATTCTAGTGGATATTGGTTGAAAGCTTCACTTTTGACCAATAATAAACTTTGTCCTTTCAGTTTTAAGCTCCACATGAGACTTTTCGATAATCACCACCTTTTTTAAGTATGTTACACTTATCATGGAGAGTGATTTCTTAAGCAGTGGGTAACCTGTCTCTCTTTCCAGCTTGGAATGACAGATCAGGTCACCTGCCAACGAACGAGAAGTGTTGAAGGAGACGGACTGAAAACGGTCTTGGGATGTCACCTTATAATCTGCCTACCTGATTAATTGTACAGGCAACTACCCCTCATCTTTGCAGTGGTAAAGAACCTGCGTTCCTGTCATCTGGACTGACTATTCAAGGCTATAGACTCTGTGAAGAACTAGTCGTTGGGTTGTCACCAACACCTGTGACCCCCCCCCCCCACATCATCAGTAACGGCTACAATTTCTACAAGACGGTGTCAACCTCCACCAGACACCCCAGTATAACTGTATATATTAGCGTTGAATTCAAATGTCATATTTTTATTTCAGTTTTCATTTTTCTGTCAAATAGGATACACATTCATTTTTTCAATGTTTTATCTTTGTATTACTTAATAATAAAGTGTTTATCTTTGTGAATTATTATTTCTTTTTCTATTCATTAATTTTCCTGAGGAGGAGCCAGCCTTGGTAATACTGTCTGAAGTTGTTACAGGGCTGAGTAAGCCTTCACAGCAGTCAAGACACCCTCAGCAATCATGCTGAGGCAAAGCATGGCACTGGCAGAGGGACGCACATGTGAAGTGTATTTCACAGACGGTTCTGTCGACCCTGAGAGGAAGAGAGCAGCAGCTGGAAAGTACCACAATGGCCACACACAAGGCTGGCGACTCCCTGACCACTGCACGATCCTTCAAGCTGAGTTGGTGGCAATTCAGCAGGCATTGTCACATGGCCTACAACATCGACTCCGACCTGTCATACATGTTGACTCCACCTCTGCAATTAATGCCCTCTCCCATTCCCAAACACAGGACAATGTTCACCTCATCACATTGATCCTGAGCATAATGTCAGCCTTAGAAGTTAAGGGTAACAGATCGACACTGAGCTGGATCCCCAGCCATACTGGCATCCGGGGGAATGAGGCGGCAGATGATGCGGCCAAGGCAGCCACAGATTATCCACATGCTGGGATTACTGTCCCCATCAGCCTACGCCAGACGAAACTGGTGGCCGCCAGAGCAATGAAACTTATGGGGGAGTTCCTAGGTGATACCCCATCTCAACAGTGGTACCGAGCAGCGACTTAGGGAGAACCCCCTCCACATGATAGAAGCTGATCCAGAGCGCAGTGTACCGCCATCCATCGGCTTCGTTTGGGATTTCCCACAGCCAAGATGATGGTAGACAAGGCAGAGGAGATGTGCCAGCACTGCCAACACGTTGTTCAGCGCCCCCTAACACACTATCTCCTGGAATGCCAAGCTACTGAGACACTCCGCAGGCAACTACCACTGATGTCCCCTTCGGTAGAAGACAGAGAGGACTGCAGCTATACTAGTGTACCATGAAGTCAACGAACCAGACAAGCTGTTGCCCGTGATAACGATATATCCTCCTCCTCTCTAGTGTCCACAGTTAGGACTACACACAGTGTTCTCGCTTACGAGACGCACCAGATGAACGACCAGAACAGTGCTTGAGTAGCATACGTTGCAACATTGCCAGAGACGGGTCATCGCAAGATTAAGACCCATGCCAGGACTTCGGTCTGGGCGAACATTATACATACATAATGAATCATCATTAGAAGTCAATAAATCTAGATGTTCAAGAATAAGATAGTCTTGCTGTATTCTGTATCTTTATTGCCTTAATGTTTCGCCTGCACATTCAGGCGGACATAAAGTATAAACAAAAAAAAAGATAAGAACAAATAAGCCTCGCAAAATGACCGACGACTCTGACAAAAACTTGCAATAAAATGTGATATGTAAAGGAAGCTTAGCTCGTGAAAATTAAAAACTACAAAATTGAGTGCTCGATATTTCACAGTTTTCGTTTTCTATTTTATGCCATATAAAATTGTCTACAATCCTAAAGATTTTTTTTATTTTGTTTTTTAAAGTCTATTTTCTATAATTTTTTTCTATAAAACTGCGGACTGACTCCACACGGCCCAAATTCAATAAAAAATACTTCAGCTTACATCAGTGCTTCGGTTTGAAGCTGATAAGAATATTAATTCTCAAGTTATTAGAATAATAAAATTTACACAGCTCTAAGTGAAACCCAAACTTTCCCTTCAGAAAAGAACCACCAACACTGAAGTTTGAAGCCTATCATATAACCTATTCTGCAGCAATTACTGTTAATCCAAGGATTCCTAGTATAACAATTTCAATAAAATTTCAGATTTGTACCTAAACGATCTAAACTTAATGGACGTCTTCCTCTTATGGAATTCATTGACGAAAATATTTTTGAGCCAATTAGAAGACGTAGTCAGTCGTTGTTGAATGGGAATCTAGCTCACTGTTTCTTTAAAGAAATCGGTAGATTGGAATTTATGCAGTCCAATAACAACATGAACCTTGTTTTCTGGAAAACATACCAGGGGGGAAAATTTGAAGCCAGTCGGAAGAGGCATTCCTTATGTATTGCTCGGGCACTAATGATTCCAACTTTTTTTTTTTATCTAATTTAGTATATTGACAAATTTGGCCGCACACAAACTTAATGACTACTGTCCTGCATGTAAGATGCATTAGCCATTAAATAGTGAAGATATTCAGAAAAAGCATTTATTTAACATGATTAAACGGGAATAATATTTCCCACTGTGTTATAGGTACAACTGGAAAATCTGCAAGTATGCACTTGCAACATCACTCTCCGCCGCTGAAGAAGAAGGTTGCAACATTTATGGATGTCTGAAGCCAAGCAGCAGAGGTTTTTCAGTCATAGAGTAGGTTGTGTATCTTTCGTCACGGGACACTTGCGTGTACCAGTAGTTGCAAGAATCTTCTTCTGGTTATCGTACACCAACGATGAAAATACGAAGCCAGTCACAGGGGGCCTCGTCTTATGAACGAAATAACAACGAAAAGTTAGAGGAAGGAAAAAAAAAGATAAAAAAAAAACGTGTATCTACCTTCAAATGATAAAGTATAACAGGAATACCATCCTGTGTGATAAAGTATAACAGGAATACCATCCTGTGTGATAAAGTATAACAGGAATACCATCCTGTGTGATAAAGTATAACAGGAATACCATCCTGTGTGATAAAGTATAACAGGAATACCATCCTGTGTGATAAAGTATAACAGGAATACCATCCTGTGTGATAAAGTATAACAGGAATACCATCCTGTGTGATAAAGTATAACAGGAATACCATCCTGTGTGATAAAAGTATAACAGGAATACCATCCTGTGTGATGAAGTATAACAGGAATACCATCTGTGTGATAAAGTATAACAGGAATACCATCCTGTGTTGATAAAGTATAACAGGAATACCATCCTGTGTGATGAAGTATAACAGGAATACCATCCTGTGTGATAAAGTATAACAGGAATACCATCCTGCATGATAAAGTATAACAGGAATACCATCCTGCATGATAAAGTATAACAGGGATACCATCCTGCATGATAAAGTATGACAGGTAAATCGTCCTAACACACCCGCCTGCGTTCTGGGTGTGTTAGGTAAATACATTTCTTTCTCTAACCTTCGTTAGATACTTCCTAGATTAGGGCGGCCACATGAAGCCTTCTGTCTAATTTTGATAACCGGGTATAAAAAGAATACATTGCATACTCACTAAGGACTCTGGTCATGTTGTGGTACGGCTTCTTGAGGACTCCAGGACGGGAGTAGATGTTGTACAATGGGTCCTTGTCGATAACGGAAGCCACGGGGAACTGGTGGTGGCCGGGACGGGGTCGAGGCTGGTGGTTGTAGAGGCTGGGACGGTAGTAACCTGGGTTGTGCCTTGATCCCACGTGACCTGAGTCACCCGAGCTCAGCATCTGTGGCACTTTCTGTGTTAGGGATGAAAAGAAATCTTTTTTTTTTGTTGTTTTTTGTCATATTTTAACTAAGAGCCAACTGTATGGGGTTACTGCTGCTGCTTCTGAAGGAAACTCTAGTGGGCACGTAAGGTTAGTTATGTTAAGAGATTTAGAAATTATCTGTACATTGCCAGAGATCTAGATATTAGAGATTACTTGATTATTTACTGATCTTTAACATGATACTTATTTAGGTTCTTGAGGTCAAAATCAATATTGAACCTGAGCTGTAAAAGCCACAAGATAATCCAACACATAGGAAAAACAGTTAGAAATATTTGTTGCTCTCTGGGTCTATTTGGAGGATAAACTTCCATATTAATAACAAGGTTAACAAGAGGATGAATATCTGTAAAATTTGAAAAAAAAAAAAAACTGGTGATGTTTCCACACCAGGTAAACAGATATACAATGAGAAAACTTTTCACTCTATAATATACAAAATTCGCGACAAGAGGAAAACAGAACATCTGAAGCTGATAAGCACAGGAGGAATAACACATAGATATATGTGAACAGAAGTAAGTATGTGGAACAAGTCTTTATCTCTGTATTGATTCCCTCAAAGCAGAGTTATTCCAAAATCTTAAAAGGCTCTTCTTAGAGCTGAATGTTGACCCAACATAGAGCTGAAATGTTGACCCAACATAGAGCTGAATGTTGACCCAACATAGAGCTGAATGTTGACCCAACATAGAGCTGAATGTGACCCAACATAGAGCTGAATGTTGACCCAACATAGAGCTGAATGTTGACCCAACATAGAGCTGAATGTTGACCCAACATAGAGCTGAATGTTGACCAACATAGAGCTGAATGTTGACCCAACATAGAGCTGAATGTTGACCCAACATAGAGCTGAATGTTGACCCAACATAGAGCTGAATGTTAACCAACATAGAGTGAATGTTGACCCAACATAGAGCTGAATGTTGACCAACATAGAGCTGAATGTTGACCCAACATAGACGAAAGTTGGCCCCCAAAATAGAGCTGAAAGTTGACCCAACATACTTGTTCCATCTTTTCACTGATTCCTCCATCCACTCATCCCTACAGAACCATTCTTCATCTTGATCCTTGTGTTCCTGCGAGTCCCCACCATTTTTTTTTGTGAGAGAAGAGAGAAGGCGCAAGGTAGAAGGGAGAGAGAGGGGATGAGTGAGACGGGAAAGGGGGAGAGAGAGTTAGAGAGGAGGAAAGAGGAGAAGGGAAGGAGAGGAGGGGGGAGAGTGAGAAGGGAAAAATGGGGTAAAGAGATGGAAAGAGAGAGAGAAGAGAGAGAGAAGGGAAGTAGAAAGAGAGAGGGGGTGATAGGTGAGAAGGAAAAGGGAAGAGAGCAAGAGTAGAGAGAGAGAAGAGAGAGAGAGAGAGAGAGAGAGGAGAGAGAGAGAGAGAGAGAGAGAGAGAGAGAGAGAGAGAGAGAGGAGGTGAGGAAGAGAGGATAGAGGACAGTGAGGAGAGAGAGAGAGAGAGAGAGAGAGAGAGAGAGAGAGAGAGGAGAGAGAGAGTGAGAGAGAGAGAGAGAGAGAGAGAGGGACAGTGGGACGAGGAGGGAGAGAGAGAGAGAGAGAAGCAAAGAGCAAGGGGAGAGAGGAGGGGAGAGAGGGGTGAGAAAGGTGGGAAAGAGGGGGGAGATGGAAGGAGCAAGAGGGAGAGAGAGGCTAGGTGGGATGAGCAGAGGGCAAGTGGGGGAGAGGAGTGACCGGAGAGAGATGGGAAAAGGGAGAGGGGAGAGATAATGGGGGGGAGAGATGTTAGAGGGGGAGAGATGTTATGAGAGGGGGAGTGTTAGAGGGAAAGAGATGTTTAGAGGGGAGAGATGGGAGAGGGAAGAGAAAGAGAGAGATAGGTAGAGAGTGTAGGTGAGAGATATAGGTAAAAGAGTGAGAGAGGGTAGGTGTGATAGGTCTCTACCTAGGATAGGAAGAGGGAGAGAAGAGAAGGACGCGAGGTTAGATGAGTTAGATCGCAGGACTGTGTGAAATCCTGTGTATGTGTGTGTTTGCGTGTGTACTACAGTTACAAGTGCTTGTTCCTTGTGTGTGTGTAGTGTTTGTGTGTGTGTGTGTGTGTGTGTGTGTGTGTGTGTGTGTGTGTTTGTGTGTGTGTGTGTGATGTGTGTGTGTGTGTGTATGTGTATGTGTGGTGTGTGTGTATGTGTGTGTGTGTGTGTGTGCTGTGTGTGTGTATGTGTGTGTATGTGTGTATGTATGTGAGTGTGTATGTGTATGTGTGTGTGTGTTATGTGTGTATGTGTGTGTGTGTGTGTGTGTGTGTGTGTGTGTGTGCGTGTGTGTGTGTGGTGTGTGTGTGTGTGTGTGTGCGTGTGTGTGTGTGTGTGTGTGTGTGTGTGCCCCACTTCTAAGTATTCAACTGCTCAATAAATACGGTGATACAGTAATTCTAAGCTTACCAATACTTGTAACACTTATCGATTCTCCTACCTAAAAATTTCAGAAAGTACCTAGCTTGTAAAATTTAGCTTGTCGCAGCTTAAGTGTCTGAATATCCTCACTACGCATTACTCCTTGCACTCTCCGTCCTATTTTATATTTGAATTTATTTTGTATGTCCTGCATTCTCCTCCGGCGGTGGGGGTTTTTATGTTGGTGTGTGAGTTGTGTATTATGTTTTTTTATGTGTTAAAGTTTTTATTTTTGTGGAGGGGATTTATTGGTATTTAGGTATGAGTTGATCTGGTATTTCCATTCCGGGGGGTGTGAATTGTTTTTAATAATACAGGAGATTTTGTTTACTATTTGGTAGTTTTACTAGTTTTAAAAAAAAAATAAAATAAAATAAAAAATTATATAATAAAATATTAAATTACCTCCTGCATGTGATTTAGTTTTGGTTAACAGGTTTTTAGGAGTGTCGTGGGTTTTTAAAATCTGTCAGCAGAATTATGTCTAGCGTCTTGGTATATAGTAAATTTGGGAAGTAGTTCCTTTACGGTGGGGTGCCCTTCTGTTGTGATTGTTTTGTGTGTATTATAATAAGTTTGCATTTTGATAAAGTTGTTTCCTTTTGTTTTTATTTATTTTCGTTTCTTTGTTGTGCTGTGTGGTTGGGTGTGTGGGTGGGTGGGGGTGTGGGTCGTGTGTGTCGTGTGTACGTGAGTCGTGTGAGGGTGTGTGGTGTGTGTGTGGGTGTTTGTTGTGTGTGGGGTGGTGGTGGGTGTGTGTGGGTGTGTGGCGTGTGTGGGGGGTGTCGTGGGTGTGTGGGTGTGTGTGGGTGTGTGTGGGTGTGTGGGTGTGTGTGGGTGCTGTGTGGGTGTGTGTGGGTGTGTGTGGGTTGTGTGGGTGTGAGTGTGGGTGTGTGGGGTGTTGTGGGTGTGATGGGGTGTGGGTGTGGGTGTGCGTGTGCAATTGAGCAGAGTACGCTACTCTTGAAGATTTATAAAAGTAAAGTAAGAAAAATTCCAAATCAATTCCTTATTACTATGCACTAAATATATACTATATAATTATTAATTGCGTGACACATGTGTTTGTGTGTGTGTGTATTTACTGCTTGTAGTTCTTTGAAAAAAGAGGGGGGGGGGAGGGGGGGGCGGTTACGTTAAACACTATTTGTATTGTTGTGTTTCCTCGGTACTCGTCCCGGCCCAGATGCTCAGCACTATACGTACTTTACTTTTTGAAGATTATAGGTATTATATATATCTTTTTCTCACTCAATTCCTTTTAATATATACTGTTTATTATAACAATAATTCCGGGTGCACCGTGTGGTTTGTATGTGGTAGACTTGTTTACTTAGCTTGTCCTCAGAAAAACGGGGGGGGGGAGTTTATAGGGTACACAACTCTTCTGAGTTTACCTGGCGAATATTTAGATAATTTTCTAACACTATCTTTCTCCTGGTACTGATAATAGGGAGGAGAGAGATGGTATAGCATAAACCAGCAGGGCGAGGACACTTGAGACTTAAGGACGACATAACCAAATTAACCACAAATAGGCAAGTGATGTCGTCTGCACAAACAATGGAGATGTTCCTGCTGGTCGTCTAATCAACTCTTCAATTTTCTAACTCCTTCAGGTGACTTTATTCATGCATTCAAGTTTTTTGAGTTTCTGTTTTTCTTTTTTAGGACTTGGTATTCCTCTTTTTTCGTTAGTTCAGTATTATGTGTCATAACATAGTCTGATGATGTTAGATTACTTTCACAACACCAACAGTCTGGGATTGACTAGTTTTTTCTTATTTCAGTATTTATAGTTTTTTTTTTTTTTTTTTTGTTTTGTTTTTCTTAATCTCTCTTTTATGACCTTATCACTGACAGTCTGCTGTTTATAATTGAACCAAACTGTTGATGTATTGTTAATATTTCAGATCACACGTTAACCAGAAATTAACTGTTTGGATATATTGTGTCAAACACTGCGGGCAGTAGCCTCTATCAGTGATGCTTACCACCCTCATCTGTCAAATTTCATTCAAATAAATTGATAAATTTTTGAGTTCCTATCATACATTATTCGCACTCTTGAAAGTATTACTGACTAAAGTTTTTATTTCTGTGAGGTATGTTCACTGATTCACTCACGGAACGTATGACCGCTAATAAATATCTTAGGACAGCCACTATGACGCTAAATCCTGGGAAAGAACTATTTGCGATACTGCTTCACGGTGTGTGATTGTGTAGTGTGTGTGTGCATGTGAGTATGTGTGTTGTCTCACCTATTGGCTCGGGGTCCAAGACTCAGTTCCTGGCCCCACTGTTCTACACTGTGTCGCTAGACTACGTCCTCGTCTCTCCCTCCCTCCATAAGCTTTAGTTCACCACCTTGTCTTTACAACTATGTATGGTTCCTGACCTCCACTACATCCACTCGCCAGACTATTTCACTTCCTGACAACTCTATGGAATGTAGAAGTACTTCCTAAAATCCTTTGACTCATCTGAGTACTTGTGATGCTTCTCAATTGTGGTACCCATCTGTGTC